ATAAAAAGCTCATATTACTTCCATGTTGTTTGGCATATTTTGTAAAATGAGGGGAAACGTATATTGGCATGCAAAAAAATGTCTTAAGCAATATGGAATTTTGCTTCTGTTGGTCAATGCGCCTTAAAATATAAAACAAGAATGACTTGAGGGAGAAAGTTTAGTCATTTTTATGTCTACGGTCATCAAAAAGATTTGGATGGTTTAATCATTTTAGGAAAATTTTGACACTCTTTAAATTACCAACTAAAAAATTTCAAAAGGTATCATGCTTGATTTTCAAAACTTAAAATGAATTTTCGATAGTAGTATGTTTTGTTAATTGCCCAAAATAAAGCTTGGCTTTTAGTTATCATGAAAATTAGGTTTATGAAGCTCAAACTCATGCCCCTCAAAGTATTAGATTTATTTGGGATTTAAAATGAACATCAAATTTGAAATTAACTGATGATAGATAAAGTTGTTGGGATTTGCCTTGAATCTCAGAATCCCACATCGAAAGTTAAGTAAGTTTGAATTTGTCTTGTATCCCACATCAGGAGTTTAGTAAAGGTATAAAGGGTTTCACCCCTATAAATAAGATGTTTTGGTTTTAGTTTAGTAACCTCAGAGAGTTAGACACCAAGAGAATAGCTAAGTGAGTAGGCTATTAAATGGTGTAATTGAGTTTTGGGTTAAGTTTTGAGTAAGGAGTTTTAGGAGACTTTTCTCATTCTAAAAGTCTCACAGTTGTAAAGATTTATTTGTTAGTGGATTGTGTTTGGAGTAGGCCATTTTGAGTTGGGCCAAACCAAATATATTTGTGTGTTCTTATTCTTGATTTGAGCTTGCTATTTTGTGTGTGGTTGCTGCGCGTGGGTATTGTTGTTTTTCCCAACAAGTGGTATCAGAGCTATGGTGATCCCCAACAAGTGGTATCAGAGCGAGGTTCGAGGTTCGTGGGTCCAAGAGATCGTGAAACAGTGTTTGAAGATGTCTGAAGAAGGTATGTCTGGTATGTCTATGCCTAAGTTTGAGATTCCCTTATTTGATGGAAAGAGTAATTTTATGTTATGGCAAAGTACGATTCAAGATCTGTTAGTACAACAAGGGTTGATCAGGCATTAGAGAGTAGTAAGCCTGAGGGAATGTCTGATGCTAATTGGAATAAGATTCAGAAGAAGGCTGTTAGTACTATTAGATTGGCGTTAGCTCCAGAAGTAAAGTACAGTGTGTTGACTGAGAGTACTCCGAAGAGTTTGTGGGATAAGCTTGAAGGTATTTATGCTTCGAAGTCGTTGACTAATAGATTATGTTTGAAGATGGATCTGTATTCTCTGAAGATGGAAGAAGGTATGAGTCTTCAAAATCACCTGAATGAGTTTAATAAATTGGTTTCTCAATTGTTAGCAATTTTTGTTGATGAGTTAAAAGATGAAGAGAAGGCTTTAATTTTGCTGTCATCTTTGCCCAAGTCTTATAGGCCTTTAGTTCAGACTGTGTTGGTAGGCAGGTCTACTTTAAAGTTGGATGATGTGACTGCCCTATTGCGTGAGAATGAAAGGTTTATGAGAGCTCAGAACTCATCACTTGGGGGGAGTACACTAGCTGTAGAGGGTTTTGATCGAGGGAGGACTCAAAAGAGGATTAATGGATCGAGATAGAGATCCAAGTCAAGAGACAGAGATTACAATGATGTAGAATGCTATTATTGTGGTAAGAAGGGACATATCCAAGTGCGCTGCAGGAAGCTGAGAAGGGATATGGCTGCTTTCAAAAGGGCGAATGATGAGAAGAAATCAGATGAAGAAAAGAGTGATACTGCTGCTGTCTTGTCTGATGATGATGATGTTGTTTTGACAACTTGTGTGGATGAGACCCAGACTTTGAAAAGTGATAAAGGTTGGGTTTTAGATTCAGCTGCTACAGTTCATGTTTGCAATGATAGGAGCTGCTTTATGGAGTTGAATGAGAATGAAAAGTATGGGGATATTGTGGTTGCTAACAAAGAAAAGGTGCAGATTCAAGGCATTGGGAGTGTTCGCCTTAGATCTCACAATGGTGTTATTAGGACACTTCGTCATGTAAGGTATGTACTAAATTGTCACTACAATTTGATTGCTTTGGGTGAGTTAGCTTCTCGGGGGTACACATTTTATGGTAGTAATGATTGGTTAAAAGTGTACAAGAATGGTAGTGTGATTCTACAAGGGAATAGGGTCAATCACTTGTACATGTTTGATGGAAGCTCAGTTGCTGGAATGCCTGTGATGAAAGAAAAGAAGAAAGGTAAGCATGTTAGTTTTGCAGATACTGTTGAAGTGTTTGGAGATTCAAGTCAAGGGAGGATTTGTTGGGATTTGCCTTGAATCTCAGAATCCCACATCGAAAGTTAAGTAAGTTTGAATTTGTCTTGTATCCCACATCAGGAGTTTAGTAAAGGTATAAAGGGTTTCACCCCTATAAATAAGATGTTTTGGTTTTAGTTTAGTAACCTCAGAGAGTTAGACACCAAGAGAATAGCTAAGTGAGTAGGCTATTAAATGGTGTAATTGAGTTTTGGGTTAAGTTTTGAGTAAGGAGTTTTAGGAGACTTTTCTCATTCTAAAAGTCTCACAGTTGTAAAGATTTATTTGTTAGTGGATTGTGTTTGGAGTAGGCCATTTTGAGTTGGGCCAAACCAAATATATTTGTGTGTTCTTATTCTTGATTTGAGCTTGCTATTTTGTGTGTGGTTGCTGCGCGTGAGTATTGTTGTTTTTCCCAACAAAAGTAACATTACTTTATTTTTGCACTCACAATTAATATCCCAATTTAAATGACCTAATTTCTTTGCATAATTGCTTTAGAGTTTATATAATTTGATATAGTATTATTAGCGTAATTTTTTAATTATACAAACAGAGTTAGGAGATAATCACATATCTCACTTATTTTTTTAATTAAATTTTTTATTATTTAATATACTCTTAAAGGTAAGTATCACTCTATTAACTCTATTTATAAAATCTAAAAATTCCACTTACAGTAAATTAAATAATTTTTTATTGATTTAATAAAATCATGCACTGAACCTTGGAAAAAAAAAAGTCATACACATAACATTACACGACTTGTAAGTTTGCATGCCCCCAACTTTCTCCGACATGCATGATTTAGTTACCAAGGTTTTGTTTAGCACACGACGAGCTTCTTTCAAAAACTTTATGATTAATGACAAAAGCAAAGTTGAATTGGGGAAAAACCTTAAAATATTGGAACATTCGGACCCTCCAAATTTATAACAAATCATTAGTGGAAGCATGTTTCATATGACATGGACAGAGAAATAATTAATTAGTCCTTGTTCGTTATAATTAGGCAGTATAAATATATATATATATATAAAATATTTAAAAAGTATATATAAGATAGCAAACATTAAAATAAACAAGATAAATATTTAGGATCCAAGATTTAAATTACTATTATAGTCATGTTTTTAGTCCTGTCACATTTATTATCGTTGTGAACATAACGGATAAGATAGCAACAATCATATTTATTACAATCATAAATTTTTTTTTTAATTTTTGTACTACTCATCACAAATACAATAAATATTATGAATAATCATGAATACTCATATTTTATATTATTTAAAAAATTTTAAGACATTTTAATTACGTTTTTTATATGATAAAATCAATTATTAACATCTTTTTAGTATTATAACTTATATAATAGTCAATATACTCATTTAAAAGTCATTAAGTAAGATATCCATCAATTTTACAAATATGACTAATATAGTTAAATAGAATAAAAAAATAATTTCATGTGTGAAATTAATTGAAAAAATATAATAGATGAAAATTTTATATTTTATCAATAAACAAATTAAATCAATAGTTAGTAACTTAACTTTAATTAAACAAAAAAAAGCAATTAAAAATAAAATTAATGATAACAAAATTTTAATGTAAAATCAATTATTTTTAAATAATACTTATACATATAAAACACTTATAAAAATAAATTTACTAATCATCATCTTTCATTCTCTCTCAATTTTATTTTAAATAAAAAAATTTTCAAATTCTTATTTCTCAACAAACTTTTCCTCTCAAATTTTTATCTAAACAATAAAATAAAATATAAAACTAATTTTATTACTTTTAAACACCCTCACGTGACCCAATACACTTTCTTTCTTCTATACCTACTTCAATCCCTGTGCCTCTTTCTTTCCCATCTTTTTTTTTTTTTTTTTTTGCATCTATTTCAATTCCTTCATTTCACCATACATAGCAAACTACTCTATGTAACTCCTATACCTTCTGCTTCAATTCTACCTTCAAATCTCGTCTCATCTTTATCAAGATTGAAAAAGAGAAATAACTCATACCATTGTTATAGTTGGTAGGGGTTATGAAATTTCTAAAAAAACAACAAAATGTGAAAAAAAGTACTTGTAAGTGAATATCTTGTTATTTCCTTAGATTAATTCTTTTTTTTTATTTGTAAATTGAAATATAAAGTTATTATTGATTGATTGTTGTGATTTGGGGTTGATTTTTTTTTTAAGACTTAAGCAGCAATAGCAGTTCGTTTTTATCGTTATTTTCAGTTTTACTATTATTTGCAGCCGCTAAAGACCATTACGTGTATGAATCGATTTTCACACTTTAATAGCGGTGAATAATGATTTCGATGGGTGTCTTTACCACAAAATAGAGACAGCTAACCCACCCACTTTTTAATTTAATTAAATCAGGACAACACCCTTTATATTTAATACATAAATTAAGAAAAGTGATTTCTTCCCTGCCAAACGGAGAAAACGATCAATCGCTTATGGTGAAATAGACTTTTTTTTTAACAGAAATTATAACCCAATATTTTACATTTAGATTAACCCAATTAGCTTTGAATGACTTGACATAGAGTCATTATTTTAAATAAAACATTGGGATTGATCCAAATATTCAACAGGGCTTAATTTATTCATTCACCATCTCATCTTGCATGGCAAATCATGATCAGTTATTCTTGGCGCATGTCGCTGCGCAAGCATCCACGCAGGTTACAACTTTCGTTTTAGCTAAACAATTTAAACCAAAAAACAAAACCTTGAGTTTATGTATTCTTGTGTCTGTTTTGAAAAGAGAGAAAGAGGAAGAAAAAGAAATTACCTGGATTTTCTTTGGTGCTGAGATTTGAGCACAAAGCAGTTGCAGAACCAAGCTTGCAGAATGATTGAGTGTCTTTGATAGTGCCCACAGTTGATTTGAAAAGGATGCAGTTCTTCAAGCATTCGATAGCGCAAGAGCCAGCTGTGGTTTCGGGTCGAAGGATGCAGAGAATATAGCAGGTAGCGTAGCAGACTTCAGTCGGGACGAATTGAGCGGTGGACTGCCCAACTAGAATCCCAAACACCAAACAAACCATCAAGATCGACGAAGCTCCTTTTTTTTCCTTTTCTTTTTGTTTGCAATAATAATAACAAGATATGTAGAAAGAAAGTGTTGTGTTGGTGGTTCTTTCTATTACACGTGAGATTTACATACATTATATTTTTCCTGTCTCAAATTATTTGAATGCAACAAATTTTTATAAAATTTTAAAAAGTTTGATTTTAATGTATTTAATATTAAATTTTAATTTTTTATAAAATTGAAGTTTTATAATTTTTAATATTAAAAAATCACAAAATTAATTGTAAAATATAAAAATAAAAATTTTAACTCTTCGAAATATATATAATTTTAAAACATTCCAGGAAAATAACAAAAGGAGGAGACAGAAGAAGTAATTGATAACTGTACGTAGTATTCATCGTGCTCCTCTGAATTTGTGCTTACAAATGAAAATCAAGTTAAGTTGGCAATAGTCAAGAAATCCATTACAATGCCGATTAGGATTAAAATTGATTGGTCTAATTAATTACACCTTAAGTTTATGATGTAAATGATATGTTAATATTTGTAAGTTATTCGGATTCAATTCGAATAAAATTTTAATTTTGTTCGATTATTATCGAGTAAAATTTAAGTTCGAGTAATTTTACTTATCGATTGAATTGAATTCGAGTATTTTTATACCTGATTCGAATTATTTGTGAGCTTAATTGAGTTTTTATATTTTAATATATTTTCATTAATAAAATATTTTAAACTTGAATTTGAATTTAAGCACAAATAATCGAGTTTTTATCGAATATAAAAATAGAGTTTTATTTTTACATGTTAATCAAGTTTAATCGAGCGAGCTCAAATAATTTGATTTTTATTTCGAGTTGAACTCGAGTTGAAAAAAAATTCGATCGAATTTGAGCTAAATTTTGAATTTTAGATTTAAAATCAAATTTAAATTCAAGTTTAATATTGTATCAACTCAAATTTGATAAATTATACCCTACTTGGGGTGATATAGCTAGGCAAAATCCAATTCTCAAAAAGTTCAAAATGAGTAGAAAAAATATATATTAATTCTTGATTCGAAGTCAAGTAATACCAAAATCTTCGTTCCGGATATGGCCCCAATTAATCCTTCTAAACATTTCCACAAAATAATTTTTCTTTGAGGTATATTTCTCCAAAAGGATAAGCACAAATATGAATTCTATAATATTCCACAAGGATTCTTGTGTAGAAGCTCATTTTAATTATTTCAAGGATTATTATTTTACACATGGAGTTCTGATCGATAGTAAAATTTTTTTTACTGTGATTAATTTGGGATTGGTTTTTTTTTTTTTATTTATAATTTATAATATATATAAACAGGAGTGTTGATAAAACTTTTGAAACAAAAATGGACATTTGTTCTTATTATATTTTTAAATTATCATTTTAAATATTTTTGTTATAAAGAATCTAATTTTTTTGAGAAAATCCATTAAATGAATTTATTTGATAAACAAAAAAAGAGAAATTAAATTTATATTTTTTTATCTTCAAAATTTTAATTTTACATTAATGATAAATGTGAAAACTTAAAGTAATAAACTTTATATTTATCTGATATGATTTGCATATGAGACTAACTTTACATGTTAATGCAAATTTTAATCAATATATAATTTATTATTTTAGTTATTTGTAAAATATGGAACTGCATGTCCATTAAATAATTATTATTTAAAAATGGATAAAAATAATGAATATATGCATGAAACATAACAATATAAATACCAGTTAAATAAACATGCATAGCAAGTATATATACCCTTTTTTTAAAGCAAGTTTTTAAAAATTAATAGATAAAAAAGAGAATACAAAAATGAAAAATAATAAGCAATTCAAAAGAAAAACAAAGAGTCATTTAAGACGTCGTGGCTTAAAAGAAAAAACGCATCTAATTAAATCACAACTCAAAACTATATATCTCTATATATATATATATACTATTCGTAAAGTGTTAAAACTCTATTATTTGTGTTGTAATGATTTTTTGAGATTGATCGTTAGATTTAAAAAAAAAATTTACAAAATTATTATCAATTTTTTTAATTAAATGTGATTGTTCACTTAAAATATTATTTTTTAATGAAAATATTAAGATTATAAGATTTAATTTAAAGATATTTGGGTTTGTAAAATCAAAATTAGAACCAAACGTACTATCTTTTAGTGTAAAAAATATTAACACTCACATTGTTCGTTCGAAAAATTTTATCAATTAAAAACGTATTATTTTTTAATTTTGATAATATAATTTTTTTAGTATTTAAATTAATTTCTTTTTTTTAAAAAATTATTATTTAAATAATTTATAAATTCTTCAACACTTTAATAAAATTTATAAAAAATATTCTCATCTAGAAAAATTTAGAAAAAAATTTATCATTCACCAAATTCTTAAAAATTTCATTTGAAGATATTTTTTATCATAAACATGTATGATTTAAAGTAATATAAATTATTTATGATTATATTATTATTATTATTATTATTATTATTATTATTATTATGTGATTATCTAAATAAAAATTTAATTTGTAAAATTAATTTTGAGACCACCCACCTTTTTGCAAAATCCTAAAAATTTATTTTTCCTTAAAAATAATTAAAAAATCAAACTCTTTTAATTTTCTTTAAAATTAATTTTCTCATTTAAGAGATTTATTTAAATAAAAATTTTTATTTTTTAATTATTTATTTGAGTTATTTAAATAAATCTTTGTTTAGAAAAAATAATTTTAGATTATTCAGCTTTTTGATGAAATCCCAAAAACATTTTTTCTTATAATAATTAAAAAAATTGAACTCTTAAATTACATTTTAAAAGATTTATCCAAATGATCAATTATTTATTTTATTTATTATTTGTAGCATTTTCTTCTTAGCAAAAATAATTTCATTAATAATCCCAATCAACAGTGTCTGCAAAAAAAAAAAAAAAAAGGAAACTCCAGAAGAGACCCGTCCTGCTCTGAATTTATTTGCAGCCCTTCTCTCTGTATAAATTGATTTTTTTCTTGATTGTGTCTGGTTTTTTATAAATGTAATGGCTTGGCTTTGCGTGGTCGGGTGTTGGGTTTTAAGTTTTCTAGGTTCAGTGTCTGTTTTATTACGGGGTTTGTTGGGTTGAAATAGGGTTCGGTTTGGGTCTGAGTATGATGGCTAGAAATTGATGAAAAAACTGTGTGTTGGGATCTGTATCTGGGTTCTTTTTGAAACTCTGGTAGTCACCGAAACTGTGCTCCGATTAAAGCTGATGTTGCCAAGTTCTTCCCCTAAATGTGTTGCAGCTACAGTGGTTTTTTGCTCCTTTGAGTGCGTCTGCTCCTCTTTTTAGCCTTAGAGCACTGCCAAATATTGTTTGATTTCTCTACAATTTACTTCCTCGCTGGTTATCCCCGTCAATTCTTGCACTTTCTATGATGATTGCTTTCTGGAAATTGATTTGCAAGGATTTGGGTTGTAGCTAGAATTGTGATTAGATTTGAGGTTCTACACATCCCAAAGTTTAAATTTCAAATCTTTTATGTTTCTCGAAATAATTAGATAAAAATAAAGAGATAAACAGGAAAATGAGTAGATAATTGAGGATAATCAACATTAAATAATAAAAGAATAAATAAGATTTAAAATATATATATATATATATATAGATAAGTAAAATAAAAGGATAAAATAAGAAATAAAATATAATATATATATATATATATAAAAAGAATTCAACAATCAAACTTAAATCGAAACCGAAATCAATTGATTTTGATACCAACGAAATAAGGTGTCTATTCTCTCTATTCCCATTTTAATTACCGTGATCATTATAATGTGAAAAGTTGTTTTGATCAAACATGTAAGAATTTGCTATTGGTCTCGGGTTGTCTTGCTTTTATTGATATCTAAGTAAAGAGCGAACTAAATTTCCTTTCCCCACATTTTTGTTTCAGGAGAATAAATAATTATGCAATAAAACAAGTTAATAATTAAATACTGTTGTCAATTACAGTTTACATTGTTTTTGTTAAAAAAAAAAAAAAACAATTATTGTAAAAGCATATGCCAGAAGTATTCTATATGTTTAGAAGAGAACTAAATTAAGGATATAATAATCATAATTATATGCTCAGTTAATCATACTTTTGTTTACAGACTATAATTAATTAATATCGTTCAAAACTTCAAGACTGTAAGATAAAAGTGGTCTCCAATTTGATTTAGGCCAACCTTAAATTTTGAAACATTTGATCCCCTTTCCTCTCCAAATAATATTTCATTTCATCATTTGCAAAATTCAGCATTCGCTAAACAACGTATTAATTCCTGTTCACTTCATTTTAAATCGAATCCACAACCTTTGCGAAATGTGAGCCCTAACATCAGTTTATCAAACTTTTTTCATCCAAATTCCATAATTTGGCCAATTAACAATATCACTATATCAATATATATATATATATATATATATATATATCACAAACCGAACTCTCTATCTTTGACATATGATGAATAATCAGTTTGTCTTGGCGCATGTTTATTTTAATAATACATTAAAATAGACAAAACAAAACCAGGCCTTGAGTCTATTTATTAACAGGGAAAACAGAGAGGGAGAGAGAAAATTACTTACAAGGATTTTCTTTGGATGTCTTTGAGACTAATTTCCCAACTAGTAGAGCTTGGGATAAATACAATCCCTGAGGCACTTGAGATTGCAAAAGAAAGCCGTAGCTTGCGGGTGTAATAACACAGAAAGCAAAGCAACTCAAATAGCAGGTTACGAAAGTAGCAGTGAACTGCCCTACTATAACCCCCAACACCAAACAAGCCATCAAGACTCCCCTTCCTTCCATTTTTCTTCCCTTAATTTCCTTTTGTTTGCAATCGGGAAATTAGAAAGATGAGGTAGAAACTTCTGTTAGTGCTGCTCTTTCTTATTCTCTAAGACAGATTTATATATATAGGCTCTAACTGGTAGGTGTATGTGGTAGA